ATCTGTTTGTTGATTATCTTATTTGTATGAAATTGGTATACAAATATTTGACTAATGTTTTTTGCTTATAAAACAACTATTACCTAAAGTGTCCTTCCGAAAACTGTCCATGAATAATTAATTCTTTGAGTTTGAATCAATCTTGGACTTTTCAAAATCCATAAATTTTGTGGGAATCACGCGTGTTTGGTGAGGGACAGAGTTTATGCAAGGCGTCAAGAAATAACTGACTTGGTAGCTTTTATGATATTGGAAAAGTTTGTTGATCCAGTGACAGTAAGGATATTACATAAGACATGTTGAAATCACATGATGTTTTGTTCACATACATGCAAGCATGACCAGCTAAAGAAAAAAACAATAAAAATGTTGTGTGGAGATCTAGCTGAATCATATGCAAAACTTTCAGGTTATTGCTAATATTCAATTTGTATTCATTTGATATCCAACTTGAAAAAATAAGACTAACATTGTATGCAACTAGTATCTAATTGGAAAATTTAAGTATAACAATGTATACGTTTATACATTATCCAACTGGAAAGATGAAGTATAACCATTGCAAAACTTCAGGTTATTTGTACATTTTCAAGGAGAACTATCTTGATTCTGTTGTATGCTTAAAGAGAAAAAAAGGTGATAGATTTTTATCTGTATTTGTTACGTTAAGTATCTATTAGGAGTTGGGAGTATTGTAGGCCAGTAGTTATTATTGACGGGGCAGACTTAATAGGCTCATATGATGGGACAATTCTAATTGCAAGCACAATGAATCCAAGAGGTATGATTTGAATCTTGATACTTATATGATATTAGAATATTGGTATATAAATTTTTTTCGATGAGTATGAATTAATTATATTTTTTTATAATGAAACATTTCACATACTTCCACTTACATGAGGCGTGTTCAAAATTTTGAGATGATAGGTACACTATTACGAAAAGAAGGACCTAAGATATAAATTTGATCGATATAATATTTAGGTTCTTATCCCTGAAAATCATTAAAATTTTAAAATTATATGTCTAAAATTATTTAATATTTATACAAACCACTTAGAGAGCCGTTACCCAATTTTAGAAAGGAAAATAAAATAAGATAAATAAAAGATCAAATTTCTAGCCTCACTTAGAGAGGTATACCCAATCATCATCACACGACATTCTATGATACTTCAAGTGTGGGTTCACACATCTATGTTTAAATATTTTTTTTAAAAATATAACACTACTATATATGATTTTAGGAGGGGAGCATGAGTTCACACGAACCCGGTCCCTTCTAGATACGCCTCTTCTTACATAAGCGATAGTAGATTTCGAAAATGAGGCATCTTGGACCTGGTACTTTGAAAGATTTAAGAACTCATATAGAGAAAGAAAGAATATGTATTTTATGTCTGACATGAATGAAAACATATGGAAAGGAACTGCAAGGGTATATCCTAATTTAGATCATTATGCTTGCATGTGGCATTTGTGTTGCAATGTTCTGAAGATTTTTCATAGAAATACGGATGATTTGAAGACGCATTTTTTGCCATGGCAAAGACGTACACAATTCAAGAATTTGAAGATTTGATGGGAATAGACACAATCGATCCAAGGATAAGAGGTTATTTATTCGATATTGGGTATAGTAAGTGGTCAAAGGCTCATCCAAAAGTTAAACGAACATGGATGATGCTAATACTTGCAATTAAAATTTTATAAATAGTAAAAAAAGAAGATATAAAGACCGTAATATTGACCCTTAAATTGATGTGTGGTGCGATTTTTCCTTCATCAGATCGGTTCATTTGGTTAAAGTTAAGGCTGACAAATACAGCCCAAGTCCATTTTGATCTGCTAAATCTATCCAAATTATAAAGTTTGGGCACAATTAGTGCCGGCAAAATGAGCTCATATTTTGGTAACCCGCCTAATCTGCCCATATTTAATGGGTTGGGTGAGCGACTTTTTACATGGGTAAAATATGAGTTGATACCCTTATTCAACTAATAAAAATATGGATAAAATATAGAGCAACTTACAAAAATGACTATATTTAGAGGGTTATTAAAGTACAATAGCTATAAGTATGGTATTTATAAAAAATGACTACAATTTAACTTTTTTTTCTAGCTATTTATTGTATATGTTTTTTATTTTTCTATTTTTCTATTTATACACTAATACAGTTTTAATTACAATGAACTAAATAAGGAAACTGTATTAATTGTACAAATTCAAATTAGTATCTTTATTTATAAAATTTAAAGTATTAATATATCAAGGATACAAGTATTTGTAAAAACTTAATGTATTAATATATTAAACAAGATAAAGTATAACAATTTAGCATATGAACACGATAATTTGAAAAATGAATACATTGTTGTTAAATAAAAAATGAATACACCAATATAGTATACATATGAATACATTGTTGTTAAACAAAAGATGGATATATTTGACAATACATAAACAAAAAAAAATGAAAAATAATAGAATGTGTAGGTAGCAAAAGTGTGCAAGTATTCGGCAATATAAAAAAATGAAAAAAACCAACAAACGTCAATCTCTTTTTGGTCAAGTTTTTCTTATAATACTTGAGGCTTGGTATTGACTCATGTATTTGTTTATAAAAAAAAATTGTATTAATGTATCCAATTATACTTGTATTGCCTAATTAACCTTTCAAATTCGATAGATTACTTATGTATCCAAATATACTTGTATTCACAAATCACCATTTCAACTTATGTTAATATTAGAATACAAGTATCTATGTATATAACTATTCTACTATATACAAGTTTGACAATCACACAAACCTCAATCTCTTTTTGCTCGTGTTCTTCTTGTACTACTTTTTTTTTATAACTATAGCCATTGTAATGTAGAAATAAATAATTCTTCAATCGAAAGCCTATAAAAATAGATGCAATATATATGTATACAAATATGATCTTCATAAAAACGAGGAGAAAATCAATTAAGTGATATCTAATGAATTCAAATTACAAAAATTGCTCCTAGAATCATCAAAAAGATCTTAAATTGGAAGAAATTTGGGAGAAAAATACAGAAATTTTGTGATATAGGAAGATTGATGAAAGGGAAAGTATTAATGAGGGTAAACATGGGGAATCACCATTTCACGAATCACCATTTTAATTTGTGTTAATATTACAATACAAATGTCTATGTATATAAGTATTCTACTATATACAAATTTGACAATCAAACAAACCTCAATCTCTTTTTGCTCATGTTCTTCTTCTATTTCTTATTATAACTATAGCCATTATAATGGAGAAACAAATAATTCTTCAATTGAAACCTTATAAAAGTAGATAAAAATATAAATGTATACAAATATAATTTTCATAAAAACGAAGAAAAAATTCTATTAGAAGATATTTCTTTTCCTCAAAGACAGAACCAATGGTCCATTTTATTAAACAAAAGGAAATGATACAGACTTGGTTTCAGCCCAAAAAGAAAAAAAGAAGAAGAAGAAGAACCAAACATAACAAGATAGCAAAGACAAAATAAAATAAAAAAGACAAAAGCTCTAAACAACTATCGGAGAAATGAGAGGTCACCGGAGAAGATGATGAATTCAAATCACAAAAAATGATCCTAGAGCTATGTAAAAGAATCTTAAATTGGAAGGAATTTGTGGGGGAAATATAAAAAATTTGTGATAAAGAGATATTGATGAAAGAGAAAGTATTAATGAGGGTAAATATGGGGACCAATCACATAAAACGTGCCTAGCATAATTAATTATGTGTGTAATAATAACTTTCCTATTTAATATTTAATAATTTCCTATTTATTTATATATAATTAACTTTGCTATTTATGGTGTAATTATATCCATATTACATTAAAAAAAAAATGTAGCTATTTATCTTTAATGTATATTGATGTTTGTCATATTCTATAGTTTTTCCTAAAAGGAGCTATAGGTAATATGGGTAAAATATGGATTGGCCAAATGAGTGCCGCACAATCCATTTGAAAAGCCCAACCAGTCCATTAGTTTGGCCCAAGCTGACCCATCCAAGTGCCAATTTTTCACTTTTTGTTTTTCTCTTAATTGTCCTTATGGATAATTGGTTCTCTATGAATTTGCCAAGATTCTTTTTTTTTTTTTTTGTTTATTTGTATAATCAAATTTGTCAATTCAATACATCCTTCATTTTACTTCCTTCCTTCCTTTTTCCTTTTCGTTTCTTTTTTTATATATCTTTCCTTTTTAAAAATAAATCAAAGAAAAATACTATCCAATAATCAATTAAAAGTTAATTACCATCAAATCTTTAAGATTTTTTCATTGGCCAAACATTTTTTTCTTTAAAGTCTTAATGGTTGTCCATAAAATGATTTTAATAAAAAAAAAAATATCTGTTTGCCTTTTCTCTTTTGTGCTTTTGATTTTGTCCAATGCGCTCACTAATAAAAATGCTTCTATTTTCTTTGTATGCTTAATTTACATCAACTTTTTAATACTTTGAAAATGATAGATACATATGAAAAGAACATAAAAAGATAATAATAAAATGAATATATTTTCCACCTTAGTTAGAGCTCTTCTGAAAATGAATAAAATTCTAATCAAAGTTTTTTTTTTTTTTGCTTTTTTGGAGATTTTGTTTTTGAATTTTAATTATTAAATTAAATTTTACGTTTGGTTTAAATATAGTACGTATTTTTACATTATTACTTTTCACAAAAAAAGCATTACCATAATTGTATTCCATGCTTTTCATCGTTCGTTTTGGTTACTTCATATAACACCAAAATGTATACAAAAAAGTCAAATGAAAAAACAGAAGAAAAAGAAAAATTCAACACAAGCTTATATAAATTAATCTCATATTCGATAATTATTATGAGGCGCTATTAATTTGAATTCATACAGAAAAAAATTAGTTTCTTTGTATGCTTAATTTAACACCAAACTTTTAGATACTTTGAGAAGATTAGATATTAACATAAAAGTGTAGTTCAAAACTTTCAACTACTACATGTAAGCTTTTCCATTTCTACATCCAAATCAAAATTGGGGGAAAATACAAAAAAAAAAAAAAAAAAAAAAGGTTACAGAACTTTTTCTCATAATGTTTATAAGTATTCCCGAGTATATATAGATGTATTTACGAACGTTCTATATATACTAATATTAATTTATCGATTAAACAGCGAGAATTCCAGTGGAAAAGATTTGTCCATTCCCATAAGGTGAAGTAGCAACATCAACAGATCTTGAACTACACTTTTCTTTCTGATCATCCATCACTATTTGCCTGTACCGACACTCTGTGCTACAAAATGCTTTCTCGCCCCTGAAATTTATGAACGAATGTTTAATATCTACATAAAAATAATAAATTTGATCGCGATATAAAATAATAATAATGTTGTGGGCATACCTATACATATATATGTCTTTGCCATGTAACTTTTTTTGACACAAGTGACATGAACTGAGAAAATCAGAATCTTGTTCGGCCGGAAAACTTCCAATTTTCGCCGGAGATATGTTAAAAACGCTTGGACGATTACATTTTCTGTTTTCCCGTTTACTTCTATCACCGTATACTTTTGTGTACGGTTTATTACCTGGTGCACGGCAAGTAACTATTGTATATTCTTCAAAACTATCCATCTCTGTTTCCTCAATTTCTGGTCTAAATCTAGCTGAATTTTTCGACGGCAAAATCACCGGAATTGGAAGGGATCTCTTTGAATTCCGGTTGTAAACGGCTTTGTTCGCCGGAATTTCGCCGTTTTTACCACCAGACTTTTCTAGTGCAGCTACTATAGCTAATCCAACTCCACCGAAATCAAAGCTTTTTAAGCCTCTTGGTGATGGAAACTTGAAATCAAGTGGACTTCTTGGGCTGGTAGCACCATCCATCGTCCGGCTACCGGAAAAAGCTGCACCGGTGAGTTTTCCGATCACCGGCTTAGATCTATTGCCTATCATGATTGAAGAAATTTAGTTCAAATTGGGATTTATGAGAAATGAAATGGAGGTGTTTTTGCCTAAAAGTTAAGTCTTTTTGGAGAGCTCTTATAAAAGATGGTTTAGGAAATTGATGGAGTTGTTGGATAGCCCATGGTTTAGGTTGGTATTATTATAAAGAGAAATGATTGCTCTACAGAAATAAAAAAATGAAGTGAAATAATTGAGTCACTTTATTCTATTCACTAGTACCATTATTAAATTGGATTCCAAACGTCGAAGAATATGGTCTAGTGGTTAATGAAATAATCAAAATTTATAGATTTTAATTTTTTTTTTAAATGTGAAAATAAAAAATATTAGTACCCGTTTGAATGATTGTATTCTATTGTTAGTTTAAATATTATGTTATTTTAATTATTACTTAAATTTCATTGTATTGTATCATTGAAATTTATTGTTAAGTAACGAAAAACTCATTCTATGTAAATTTGGTGTGATTGTGTTGTTATCTTACTATTTTTTTCTCATTTTATTTTTAATTATTATTTCATAATCTTTTTTTTATCATCTACACTACCTTTTTATAATAGCTATATCACGTACCCTATTTTTGTTATAAGTTTATCATTCAAATTGCAAGTGTATAATATTATGAAATGATGGGAACAACATAATCGATGCAAATATTGTATTATTAAAATGATACTTACATTACTATACAATATAATATAATACGATATATTATAAAACAACAGAAAACAACCATTCAAATAGAGTGTAGATAATTCTTTCCATATGTTCTACTCAATTAATTAATCAAGATAAACGAAAGCTAATTCAAACTTTATAATCATAAAAATTAAATAAGAAATAAAAAAAATAGGATTCCAAAGCAATATTTTAAATTGTCACTTGTCAAATGACCAATATTTCAAGAAACGTCCATATCTAATGATTGGGACCCAATCCCTATGTAGGACCCACATTTATCGATCAAAAGATTCCGGCAAGTTTACTTCTCCGGCGAAAGGTATACGTGTCAACTGGATCAATAGATATTGTCAAGATAGTAATTATTGATGGGACCACTTAATGGAGTCTGGGCCCTACCTTTTTAATTTGTTTTTTGTGTGGTGGGACCCATACTATGACTAATGGAATATGTGGGGCCTATTGCTTTTGGAATAGGAAAGCGATCTATGGGTTCTCTGTTCACAATCACAGATGTCGTTGTAGATGCTAATGACGAAACTACCCTTCATAACCCCACAATTAGAGCGGTCAATATGTGCTAGTCCACTCCATTCGGCCAACATATACAGACTTTGAAATTTGACGGGCTAGACCAGGCTAATCCATTTTTTGTGTGGGTCAGAAAATGGTCGGTCCAGCCCAGAAGTACGTGGGCTACTGGCTTTTCCGGGTCAGCCCTCTTTTCTTACAAAAGTATTTTTTATAATTTTTTAAATTAAATTATAATTTAAAAATATTAACATAAATATCGACAAGACAATATTACGTGGTGTTATTGTTACTATTTGTTAATCAAATACACAAATAAAATTATCTTTATAATATTTATTAAGTTTGATTTCAAGTAAAAGCATAAATAGCTAAATAGAAATATTAACCTAATTATTTTTTAATGATCATAATAAAATACAAAAATTATGACAATATTTCATAGGTTATGATCTATGTAGTGATTCCCTAAAAATTTTAGGGGATTTTTATTTTATGTAGTACATATTTTATAAACATAATTTGTATTTAAATTGTAATATTTCAAACTTTACACAGATATTGACTTTAAACTCTTGTTATTTTCAACTCTATTTTTTATTTATTTTTTAATTAATTTTTATTTAGCCCACGGACTTAGCCCATATTGACGGCTCTACCCAGAATGTACTTTCTTTTTTTTTTAAAAAAAAAAACCCTTTTAATGATTTTATTCTTTTTGAAAAAGGGAAAAATCGATTTTTTAAAAAAGTATTGAAGACCTTTTGAAATGAAGGATTCTCCACGATGAAGGAAAAAGTAACACTTGCAATTTAACAATATGAAATTGATGTTTTTTCCTTACAAAAATTAATCAAATTAGAATATTACTTGTAGACATTGAAATTTTGTAGACTCTACAAGACATCATAGTTTATGTCTATATAAAGGGTACTAAATTTCCTTAAAAGACATCTCAAAATATCCCATAAACTTTAGGGTATTTTTAAAGATCAAGATCTCGAATATTCTACAAAAGTCATGGAATATTCTTATAGAAGTCAACTCTAAATCATCCTAGTTCGAGAAATACGCCACTAACGGCCTCAAATAAATATTAGGAGAGCAGAATCAAGAGAGGAACAGAATTGTACCCGCAATCTTGATGAATAAAATTATGTTTCTTCATTTTTTATTGTGATTGTAATTTATTTTCTGTCACTTAAAAATTTGTTGCAAACAAATTGGCACGCCTAGTGAGACAATCTCTACCTCTCATCTCAACTTTTCAAGCATCAAACAACATTGAGATGACTTCCATGAAGAACAACTCTCGATCAACTGCCTCTAAGGCCACTAGCTCCAAGGTCTCTACTGAAGTTGAAGACATTCTTGATGTTACCTTTGGAAGTTTCGGAGCCGTTGCGAGAAACAAAGTTGCTACGCTAGGACAACAAACACTGCAAGTGTCGTCCGCATCAACTCCTATTTTTGGGTCTTTAACTCCAAAAAGAGCAAGTTCCTCCACAAATGCTTTGGAAAGAGGAAGCAGTATTGCTGAAAAGATCAAGGAGACATCGGCTCTACTAATGAATCATCTCCACATGCATTGCGTAACGTGATTCCGTTGAAGATTAACTTACGGGACAATCCATGCTACTCTCCTACATCTCCAATGATCATGCAAACGATGGTAACTGTTGCTTCCTCTCCTGAGGAACAACTCACAAATCTGACAAAGTTGGTTGAAGGATTGACAAAGCATGTACAACACCAAGAGTATCGAATTGATAAGTTGATGGATATGATGGAAGGACTTTTATATGGAGAAGAGAGTCATGCGCCTGGAAAGTGTGTTGAAGTTCAAGAGATCGGAGATCCTGCGAAGAAAGCACCGCTTGTTAATGAGATGTCAGTTTCTTCTGAAGGAATGATCCCACTTGATCGCTTGAAAGAGTTTATTGAAGGCACTATCAAAGATAAGTATGAAGTCTCCACCAAGTCTTCTCACATGTATGCCAAGCCATACACCGCGAGAATTGATAACTTCAAAATGCCTGCTGGTTATCAACCTCCCAAATTTCAACAATTTGAGGGTAAAGGAAATCCAAAACAGCATGTTGCATACTTCGTGGAGACATGTAATAATGCTGGAACCTATGGAGACCATCTCGTCAAATAGTTTGTCGGCTCTCTAAAAGGAAATCCTTTTGATTGGTACACAGATCTCGAACTTAATTCTATTGATAGTTGGGAGCAACTAGAGCACAAATTTCTCAATCGCTTCTATAGCACAAGGCGTACGGTGAGCATGGTAGAACTCAATACTCGCCAAAAGAAGGATGAACCGGTTATAGATTTCATAATTCGACGGAGGAACGCGAGCCTAATTTGCAAGGATAGGCTTAGGGAAGCTTCTGCAATCGAAATGTGTATTCAAGGAATGCACTGGGAGCTTCTTTACATCTTACAAGGAATAAAACCAAAATCCTTAGAAGATATAGCTACCCGCGCTCATGATATAGAGTTAAGCATGTCCTCTGCTGGAAAAGATGTGACATATGTCCGAGACCCTCGCAAAGGAAGCGACAAGCAGGAACCCAAGAGATGGAGTAAATTTGTGCCTAGAAATGACAATAAAGAATCCATGAATGTTAATGTGTCGCCTGCGAAGATCACTACGAATGAGGGCATGAAGTAAAATGTGAGAACGACTTTCCAAGCACGTTCAAATCAAAAGTCGACACTAAGGGAGATGCAAGAAAAATAATATCCCTTCTTGAATTCTGACGTTTCTAAGATTTTTGATGAGTTGCTCGAGTTAAAGCTCATTGACTTGCTAGAGATGAAGCGACTCGATGAAGCTAGAAAAGCTGATGACCCAAATTATTACAAGTATCATAGACTTGTGAGTCATCCTCTCGAAAAATATTTTGTCTTCAAGGATAGAGTGATTGCAATTTATTTTCTATCACTTTAAAATTTGTTGCAAACATTGCTATCTCTATTATTTTTTAAATTTTTTTATTTGATGTTCGATTAATACAAATTAAAAAGTTATTACTTTATTAATATAAAATAAAATATTTTTTATAATTAATATATTTTATATGCCATCTCTTCTATGAAATTTCTTATATGGTGTTTGATGAACTAATTCAGATTTTTTATAGATTAATTTTTTTTTTATCAAAGAGTATATTTTCTGAACTCAAACCTATATCTCTAATTAAAAAAAAAATGCTTACTACTAGAAAAACCTTTGTGGTCCATAAATTAACTTCATTAAAGGGTTGACAATACTATTTATATTATATTATACTCTCTCCCTCTGTTCCTAATTATTTGTCCACTTTTAAATTGTCACACTAATTAATTTTTTTTTATTAACATAGTAAGTTTATCATTTTACCCCTATTAATTATGAAGTGGATCAATTAAAAATTTAAGATTTTCAAAAAGTTCTACATTTTTCAAAGTAATTAATTGAGGATATAATAGGTAAAATTTTTATCCTATTTGTCAAAATGAACAAATAATTAAGGACAACTAAAAAAATAAAAATAGACAAATAATTAGAGACAAAAAAATACTAAATAAAGCTTTTATAAACAAGAATGTATAGGGTGTGCTTGATAGGTAGGAAAATATGAGATAGAGATCGCAACGCACCGGCCTTCTTCTTGCTCTAATGTCCAATCTTCCTTATATTTCTATCAACATTAACTATTTTAACCACCACCAATTTTATTATGTATTATTTCTCTAATATATAAATATGCCTAAGAAAATAATTATTTCTATTTTAACCAACTATCAAAAAATTAAGTAAAAAAAATATTTTTCTTTCGAGAAAAAACATTTTTCCAAGTACCAAACACACCCAAAATGTTTAATTGATTGTATTAGGCAATATAATTACAACATATAACTTCATAAGCAAGAAGAAGA